GGTCCTGTGTCTGGTCATGTGACAGGTCTTGTAACTGGCCTTGTGTCTGCTCTTGTGACAGGTTTTAGGACTAGTCCTGTGACTGGATTCAAATAATCATTGAGAGCAATCATACCCCTTCTCGATCATTAACCCAAACATTCTAAACCCAACAAGTTGATGCATGATTTCAACGGTCTCTAGGCATTACGCTTAATAATGCGTAAAAAGTATATCAGACCTATAGTTTAAGTATGAAGGAGTTTACCTGTTACTGTGATGGTGATAAAACACTCATTCATGTTTGAGCTTTCATCTGTGGCAACAAACTGGACGATAGTCTCGCCAATAGGGAAAGCAGAATCAGATGTTGCATTGACAGTAACGTTGACTGTTTGCATGGAGTTATCAGAGACAGTGGCTTGACCGAAGGATATGTTGCCCGTTCGCAAACCCTCATCTGTAGTGCCCATTTCATTCTGTGGACACATGATCATTGGTGCTTCGTCATCTGAGAAAGGAAAAACGTGTTTCTCCTTAATTTTTTTTTCACAACCCAAAATATGCTGTCAAACACATATACGCTGTAGAACACTCCGATTAGACGCCATAACTGAAGTGGCACCGCACTCCCACGACCATTCTTCAGCTTGCCGCGCGTGCATTCGGCAAATCACAACAACCTACTGGTCGAGGAGGCACACAACGTGTGCGTACCACCTGTCCACGAGCGCTGCGCCACCACAATAATGGCTTCTAATTCTGGTTGTTGAATTACACTATAACTAACATCCAAAACTTCTGTTGAGCAAAATGATTAGCCACTGCATATTCTTCTTATTACAGATCAGACAACCACAAGGCTTGTGATTTTAATCTTTGAAGTTTTGCAAAGTGCCTGAGGTAATCTGTAAAATGTGTGCAAAAAAAACAATCTCTCCATTCTGTGGCAAATGACAAAAATGTGTAAAAAATTCCTTTGGGGGAAAGTTGCCGCCCCATGCTGGTTACACACGCACCACTGGCAGTCATCACAAAGTGGCAGAATTATGTGACCTCTGCAACGGAGATACTTCTCAGACACCTTTTTCTAGCTGAATTTAGACAACTTATCGGGTGAAAAATTGCAACAATGAACACAGGTTCTGTCTACTTCATGCTTAGATGAAATATGTGCTTAGCAGCATTGATAGCGTCAGTGGAATTATCTGATGATCACCTACCGGTCACATTGATGTGCATTTCACACATTTCACTATTTGTATAATTGTCGGTAGCGGTGTACTGCACAAAATGTTGTCCTGTAGCAAGGTCGAGGGTAATCAAGTCACCAATCATGTACATGTCACCAGCAACATCAATGCTGACTGAAAACGATCCCGAGTTGTCAGAAGCTGAGGCTAACTCAGGCAGTGCAAGAGTGACATTGTCCACGCTTGAATTTGTTGCAACGGTCAGATTAGCTGGACACTTAATCACGGGATTTTCATTGTCTGTTATGGAAAGAAAAAAAATCAAAGACCACATCAGAAGAATAAATACCAGTTCGGCAAGCAATTATGTATTTGGAACAGTAAGTTTAGGCTGGGTACAAGTTGGCTACATGAAACAATGAGTGTTTGCAGCTAGTTCCTAGAACAATACTCTAAATCTCTATCAACCGTGGCAGTTCTGAAGGTTAAATTGGAACTCGGTGCCAAATTAACCACTCTAACAATGTTTTTATAAAAACCTCACAAGAAACCCTGTGCTGAAAGCGATGTTACTTTTAAATCTTGAATTTTAGCTTGAGACTTTCCTCACCCCGGAGCTAACAGTCAGGTATGAGTCAAATAAATGAGGAAGAATCTCATTCAAAACTTCTGAAGAGCTCTGCTGAACTGTTGATCTAGGACTTCTAATAATCATCATGACACTGAAGATGAATGTTGGCTCAAATATAAGTATCCATTTATTGAATGATGCCATCCGTCAGCCTTTTGTTGGAAATGTATTCCCGAGCCATACAAATTCTCATTTAATGTTGCTCCTCATTTCCTGTTGCTCCTCATTTCCTGTTGGTGATCGTTTAATTTCCTAGAGTCTAACTAAAGTAAAAGAGCCCTGAACCTAAACCTGAAATCTTCACAATTCTCTGCAAGTATGCACCTTCAAGCAGTTCTAAATTTACTGACCTTGAACCTCAATGGTGAAGGAACAATTGCCGGTGTTACCCTGGGAATCTGTTGCATTCACAATGACCTCGTGGTTGCCAATTTCGAACTGGGATCCCGAGGGCTGACTCAGTAAAGGTTCTATAGTTTCCCCAGAGTTGTCGGTCACATTTGGCGCATACCACATTACAGTTGCGAACCTCTCCATTGAATCTGTGTCTGTGGTAATGTTTGCTGGGCATTCTATCACGGGGTCTGTCAGATCTGGTCAGGACAAGAGAAGTGCAAATATTTTTAAGAGTTGTGATTTTGATAAAGACAGACCACTTTTATACTTAGCAAGTGGTGCATTTTTCATACATTCTGTTCAGTTAAAAGCTTAAAGAACAGATTACACTATACAAATGCACAGCAACGGCACTCTAAGAGCACTTTCATTGACGGTCCATGTTTTTCAAGAGAAAGTAAAAAACTTTACAGTCAGAAACTGGAGAAATGATCAGTACAGTAACTGCAGTCTGTGAACAGAATACATGAAGTATGATCTTAAAGCGAGGTTGGAACACATTTAAATCCTATAAGTGATTTAGATGCACCATTTACCTGTGACGCTGACGTTGAAAGAACATGACGCTACATTTCCAGAGCTGTCCATCGCACTATAGGTAAACGTGTGGGTGCCGATGTCCAGAACCACGGGAGGTGTAACCATTGGCCCAGTGGTTGTGACTTGTCCCGAGTTGTCTGTGCCTACTGGCACCATCCAGTCAGCAGTGCCATTCATGAAATCATCCCCGGCAGGTACTTGGAGATTGGCTGGGCAGGTAATCACTGGTGGTATTGGATCTATTATGTGAAAACAGGTCAAGGCATTGATAGAGTGGGTGCTTGTTGGAGGAGGAATAATGCACTTCATTAATAGTCATTAAACCTCCTTTAGTTTTACAGCACAAATATGCACAAGTGCCCAAGGTCACTCTCTTGCACATTGGTGCAGTGCACAACATGACACAGCTGTGCTTCTTTGAGGTGTTTACCAAGTGACCCAAAGAGTGATTTCAGCATAGCAGGGTTAATCCAAGTCATGTCAGGGGAATACTGCCGTTTGGTTAGATTTACATGTACATGTACTATTCATGGACAAGTAACAAAAGATGAAACACATGTATCTTACAAATTTAAGCAAGTTTCCTTCACACCTGTACTAAGCTTACAATTAGCATTGTGAGCATTTGAGTTTAAAATTAAACCTCCGGAACTAAGGGTAGTTTTATCTGCTTTGGCCAAGACAAACCAACAATCAAAAAGGACCCCCCCACAGACAAACAAATTTGCTTAATTGCAACAGTTTCAAGCAGTACATAAGTGGGACTGGTAACTGTATCCAATCAGGCAAGTCATCCGAAGTGGATCAAGATCAATACTTCTCCATTGGTCGTGACATTCAGATGGCTTCTTTTGCCAAAAGTGTTTTTAAAACAACTGACGTTCTGCTAATGAAATGGACATAATTTCCTAACCCATTCTATCTCCAGGCAAAAAAAAGAAGCTATTTCAATGCACAAGCATTCCATTCTACTTTGACCAGACATGAAAGCAGACTTTTGACCAGACCTTGAGTGGAACTGACTATAAGAATTCAGGCCGAGGTATTTATGACCAAACTTAGCACTTGCCTAGCGATGAATGTTTTGAAAACCACCCTCAAGTCCAGAATGCGGGTACCATTGGCTACATTTACACACTTTGTACATTATTTAATAAAGTGGTAATGTGTGAAAAATCTCTTGACACCCTGTGCACAATCCCTTTCATGGTATGAAAATCCTGAGCATTTTCTAAGTAAATGCTTCAACAGTTTCTCTGCTAGATTTGACTTCTTTAAGGGCATGTTAAATATGCTTCCTAATACAGCTGATATCCTACACTATGCAAAAATTTGTGCTGTCCTTGTATGGAATTCGTCCCGTTTCGTTCTGTCTATATATAACCTCCAATAGTCCTCAGACCTCATATTTCAACATGCACACTTCATTTGTCTTCTTACTAGTACTGTATGCAGATATCGGTTGATGGTGACGGCACGACAGTCTTTTCTTGGTAAGAGAACCCAAGTGGCGTCAGTGAGACGATCCTATGACCTACAAGTTTATTACCACAGCATGCAATAAACATATTGTTCAAAGATATCTAACAATCAGTTCATGGTGGTAAACAGTTGATCAGGTTTTAAATATGTAACTCACCAAGAACACGCAGATAAAACTCGCAGTCATGAATTACTACAGTCGGGAAAAAACTTTCGTAGACTGTGTACTGGACGCGAATCCTTCCGTTATTATCTGCAATCGTGGTTGTGATGGGGAAGGCACCTCCATTCATACATTCAGTGTCAGCCGCACTCATTGAAGGGAAGCAATTGTACACCATGTTCATCCCAGTGGTGGTCGGGTCTGTCCATGAGACTACGGCCGTAGCGCTGTCACTGGTCACACTGACCTCAATAACAGGTTCTCCATTCGATTCAATGACAGCTTCCGTTGGAGGGCAGGTACCACCAAAAAAATCTACAAATTAAACCAAGAAAGCTTCCAAAATCATTTGTTCCTTCAACAAAACAATGAAGTGTTCTGCTTTGGGACTTAGATACCAACATGCAATGCAGCACAAAATCAAGTAACAAAATGTATCAGCTCAAATCAGACTTGATGACTTCCTGCTCATGTGTCAGGCACAAACATATTGCCCTTTGACAGATGCGAGAGGTCAAACAGAATCCGTCCCGCCGACTACAAAGAGTGACGCTAGAGAAGTGGGCATAATCCACACATAAGAGGTTAGGAAGATGTCTTACTATCGTTGTCACGAATGCAGACTTGTGCATTTGGGCCAAGTTGGCCACTACTTGGATTTGGATTCGTCAAGCTCAGAGTGAAGCAGCGTATGTCGGAAAGAGAGTTATCCACAGTATTATCTACAATGGAAACACTAAAGGGCACTCGGTTGTTTGTTGGCGAGAAGCTCAGGGTGTCAGTTTTTGATATATAATCAACTCCATTCGTAGCTGTGCCATCAGAAGTAGCAACATCTGGAATGAAAAACAGGAAAGAACCGCAATAGTATCAACAACTTCCAAGAGACAGCTGGAATGGGGCATCTTCAAAAAATCCAGGGAAATACAAGAAGATCATTTATGCACGTTTCTCTTTTGACTGACTTGTGATCAGGAAGGGAAGCGCTCATTATGCATCAAAGTTAGAGTCCCTGTATATTACAATGAGAAATCTTTCTTTGCTTGAAATGCTTACCTTGTCATGTTGAACTCATTAGAGACACAGAATTCAGACCTATCACAATTTCTCACTTTTTTCCTTTTCAAACAAAGGCAGTGGATATTTGACCTCTTACCAGTCTAGATATTCTTTGTTGGACGGGCACAGCAACCGAGCACATGTGTACTGATGATAAATTGCAGTGTTAGGTTTGAGCACGGAGGATCATGCTTTGTAACTCCAGTCAGTATGCCAACAGAGTAAGCATTACCAACAGACTTTATGTGAAATCCAACCAACTTGGACGGTGAATTTGTGAGGAGTACAGGACCTGCTGTACATCTTGGGCACGATCCGCTGATTGCAAGATCGCTCTGAGCGACTGGTCCATCCTATATGTGGATTCTACAAGTCTTCAACTGTACTTACCTTCTTTAAAAGATCCACAAATCATGGAATAAGGTTGACTGATCGTGCTGATCGACTAATCCTGCCCAAAATTGTGCTCATGACATAAGAAAAATTTAATTTTTCCCCAGTGTTATAGGACATACAATAGCAGTCTAGAACTGGACTTAGGTGTGAATTGTGTAACTGTGTGTGACTGATGTGTGTAACTATTTGCCTTTTTGTAACCGAGGTTTAAGAAACATACTAACCAACTTGTGGACTTGTCGGATCATGAGGTTCAATCCGTAGTACGTAGACTGTTGCCATGCCAACATCTTCAGCCACTGTGTAGATGGAATTCTCGAACTGGAATTGATCAACTAAAATAAAAAAAGACAAGTTTGCATCTATATTAGACAGTTTAGTTACCTGTGGTTTGACTGTATGGGCCACATGTTGGGCTTGGCTTGCACAGGCACCCCCCCAAAAAAACACAGAAACAACGAACAAAAACCAATAGATTGTGGTTATACTGAAAAAAAACCACAGACCTACTTCGCTTTTTGGCCCAAAAAGTGAAAACTGAAAATGATAACAGTGTGATGTTATCACAGCATTCTTGAGGTCGGCTTGACGTCACTATGGACTTTTTAAACATGTCAAAGGGACAAATGCACCCTTCGTGCTATAATTTAATAATGTACAGAAGTCTGGGAGTTCAACCATGAGAATCACTTCAATTGCATCCATAATAGATCCCTATGTTCATGCCAAATTTAAACCAAATCAGCTAGACCCATGGTCTTTAAATAATGCATCTTTAATATGACATCATGTCAGTGATAAGTGATAATGTTATCATGAAATCACTTTTTTTCGGGTCCCTGTCACATCTGAGGTATGATTTTGTAAGTTCAGAACACCATTTCTAATTTCCAAGAGTGGTGAATTACCTGCCAAACAAATAGAAACAGCTTGAAATCAATTCCGGTGATTAAAATTCCCTGTCAAATAACAAAGGTCAGAAAATGCAAACAGGGACGCGAAAATGTTACACTTCTGGACTCCTAATTTCTGGAATGATTACTCTATACACCTGCAACGCGACGTTTTAACCAAATTGGACTTATACTTTAGAATATCTACAGGCTTGCACAGTCCACTATAAAAAGGCACTAACGTGGCGCACTTCGACTTTTCCCCTCACACTGTGTCAAGAAATTTCGGCTAGGCCGGCGAAATTCAAAGACGACGGTGTCCAGAAATTGGGCAGGAATTCAGCTGTGTATGTTCCTCAACTAGCCCCATACGTAGGGCTGGAGTGGCTCTCTTTTACAATCCGTCTCTTAGTCTTGTCTGTTGTGACAGTAAAGAGACAGATTGTAAAAGAGAGCCACTCGAGTCCTACGCGTGGGGCTAGTTCCTCAACGTACGTGGCGCACTAGCAAAAAACTTCAGAAAATCTCATAAAAATATACAAGAATTTCTTTGAAACCATTGATAAATTCTAATGAATTACGGGCGTAATTATCTCCAGTTACAAACATAACCCCAAGTTTGTTAGAAAATAATTTTGTACTTTTGGGCGCATTTCAAGAGTTTCTTTTGCACTTCAGAAAAACATCGGCAGGTGGACCACATGCACGGCTGGATCCACCTGCCGCAACAAAATGCATGTACCAATTTACGACCATTTAAGGTAGGCGCCCAAAAAATGCATTTTCTAAGGGGCGCCACCGTGCGGTGCGAGGGGATACATGCCATGCCAAATCATGTTGAATGAGACCTAGGCCGTTTTCCAATACTCAACTTCGGCTGTGTCTCAGGTTCAACTGTTTTATAACTAGCTGACGTTGAAGCTGTAAGCGCAGTAATTAGTTCAATAATGCCACAAAACATCAAATAAGATGCAAGAGAGCCAGAAGTTACAGTAATCCAATTTAATCTAAACGCTTCAGGCCCACAATCGGGGCGCTGGTCTTGGGAACAAAGCCTCAACGGAGCTCAAGTCGAGTATTGGAAAAGTGCCCAACTAGCTGGCCTGAAAGTTGATCACTGATGGCGCGCTTCCGGAACCCTTGGATAGGAAAAACAACGTGCAAAAATTTTAGAATTTGTAATATTTTTTTCGTTCAGTTACTTGTTAAAAAAATCCAACTTAGAAAAGGGGCTTTGGAAAATATTTGCTAGTCTATCAATTTATAGAAACTGAAAAATCACCTGACCTAAAAGAGAAATATCCTGCCAAAAACTGACCCATCACTTCCGAAAATCTAGAATACTTGAAGGGTCCAGTCCACTTATTCAAGCCCCATTGATAACTGTGTAAAATCAGCACTGTTCAGGGCCTAATAGCATGCACGCCAACATCCCTGAGATTTCTGAAACACAAATGAAACTCTTGTCTGGTCACTTATCTTTCAATTTCTTTTCACTTTTTTATGGGTTAACCAATTACATTTTTAATTATTCCCACAAAACAAAATCACCCGCCAAAAAATGATTTTTCCGAAGTCTGATTGCGGCAATTTTTCAAGTGGCAACCCTCAACTTTATGGGGCACTTAGGACCATTTTTCAACCGTAGTTTTTAGCCCTTCTGCTCTCATATGAAAGGCTCAAAGACCCACAGAGTTGATCCTGGCAACGATTTACACAATCTCACCATTTTGGGGGCCAAACAATCTCCTTTTTCAAAAGATACTGTGGGGGGGGCACTTTAGATGCTAATGAGCTGGCCATAAATTCTCACTTGAATTAGTGGTCTGCACCCTGTAGAACAGTGCAATGCGTCACTCTCGTACACAGTTGAATATTAACGGTTTGAAATTTTATGGTAGTCCGTCGAAGAAAACCGAAATAAAAACAGATCAAAATATTTTAAACACTTTTATAATTTGTAAGTAGTAAATCTAAAGCAATATTCTACTTCAATTACGAAAGATTCTAATCTTTTATCTAACCTTTGCTGACAACAACTGCTGGATGTCAACCCATCGACTGCAAGTAGGTAAAACTTTGCAACGTTGTACAATCTCGTTTTTACGTAAGAACGGGCAGTGAAAACAAACGTGCATTGACATGAAGACCTAGGTACGATATCGCCGCAAGTGAAAGGTCGTTTAGAAAATTCGTTTTTTACATATCTCAATGTAACTTTTCCTAAATATCATTACTTGAGGAAGACAAAGGTAACATGAATGTTTCATGGGGTGGTTTCAGTTAGGAATTATTCTTCCAAAAATTATCGAGCGTGATAGGACGGCCCAACGTAAAATCCCTATAGAGGACCGCGCGAGGGATCATCGCTGCGTGACATTCTACTTTCAGGCTCTATTTTCTTTTGAGTTTGCCCCTTCCCAACACCAAAAGCTGGATACGGCCCTGGTCAGCACCCATGTCATGTTGTAGAACAATCAGCAGCATGCATTGGTGGTTCACAAAATGATCTGTAGGTACAGTCCGGTATGGCAGCTTATTAAATGACCATCCATGTAACCGCTTTACCGAGTAAATTTATCGTCAGAGAAACATCAGCTGGATAACACTGATTTCTGAGAGAAATTATCCCCGAAACAAGGAATTCAACGGTAACGCCTTTTGGAAACACTGGTTTCCTTCCAATAGAGAAAAACGCCCCCCCCCCCTCCGATGTTTGACACTTACCCGTGGTTGCATTCACTTCGTTTCGTTGAACCATTCCTAAAACAGCAACGAGGAGGAGCACCACCGCCGTGGGTCCCGCAGTCTCCTGTCGACCCATTCCGGTGATTCGGTGGACCTTTTGTCTGTTCTCCAACTCAATTCCAACAGTATGTCCAAAGTATCAGCGGTATTTAACCCTCGGTTTTCCTTGGGGGAAAAACGACGACTGCTGCTGAAACCCGATTTCACTTCGTAGGGTGAAACCCTCCCTAAAAGTTTTTACGTAGTACTTGACCAAACTACTTCATGCCTTTATCCCACAATCCACTGGGTGCGTTTACAAACGGGCGTTGGCCGTATCCCCTGTTCAACTCCGCTTTGTGACGACGAACACCAAGGACGATCCCATTTGTTCCGTGAACAATTGCAAAATCCGGAAACCGGCAGGAATATTCCTAACATTTTCACCGAGCTGTAGGTTTCAACATCAACTTTCACAATGACGCGGAGCGGACAAGGGCATCAAAACAATCTTTAGAAAGTGGGTTCAGTTATTGGTTAACACCCACCTTGGGGTCAGTCAGCCATCGCAGCAAACCTGGAAAAAACCCGAAGAAGCCTGTTTGCTCAATACTTTAGGTGAAGTGCATTATAATGTTCAAGGTTGAAATACACGTCGTGAATACAATCAAAAATACTGACACTTAAATAGACACTTATTTATGCTCTTAGGTTTTCCCGGCCAATTTGAACGATACATTTATTGTCATCAACATATCAAAATGCGAGTAGATTTTTGTTCCCAGCCAGGTTTCTTTTCCCAATCTTTTGCATTCATTTTTTTTCCTTTTATCGAACACCTGTGTTAGTTTTGCCATAAAACCTGTTGGTTTTATTTCTCTTGATTGTTTTAAATATTTATTTCTGTTCACTCATAAGTTAACTTGAGACCACTGATGCATGTAACAAGCAGCGGGCAAACGAAAAACTAGCCTTTGCCCCCCCCCCCAAAAAAAAGATTCTTGAACTGGCTTTTTCTTCGGGCTGGGGAAAATTCGAGTGACAGGTCCGTGTGAGTTTAAAACTTGCTCCGATGAACCAAAAGAACGCGTAGCGGTTAGAGCCAGGTGCGCCGACGCGGTGAAGGCACGCATGCCTGGCTTGCAGCCGGCCATGCAATGACGTCAAGGCAGACTCACCAGATTTGGCATGGTCGTGTTGACGGATTGTAATGATTAATTTGCATTTGGTGTATTACGCGAGTTGGGCCAAATTTGTTTTTGTGGTCTCGTGCCCAATCAACGCGACCGACAATACAATATCATTCTGATCCGGGTCAGGGGACATCAGTTACACGTATAGTACTTACAGTACTTCCGCACAAAGCAATTAGCAACCTCGCCCACTCCTGAGACGGGTGGACATGTAACCACACTGGGGAAAAAAGTCATGGGATATATCAAAGTTGGATGGCAAGTCCTTCTGCTAGTAAGTGCCATCTCAAAACTCCATTTGTCAGGCTGCTGAACCACCATTTTGTCTCAATTTGTGTGATGAAAATGCCCCAAATCAGTTCGTCGTCATCCGATGACGACGAACTGATGGGCTAGGTTCATTTTGAAAATGCTTTGCGGGATGGATCCGCGAAATTACACTCTAAACAGAAAGGAACAGGACAAACAAATATGCTTGTCACGAGAAGGGTACGTGCCGATTATTCAAATACTCGACAGATGATAGATCATCGAATAGCCGAATATTTATTTTCGAAATCTAACATTTGGAGGTGAAAATCAATAAAAGGGGCGGAATGTTAGGAAAAAAACTACATTCTGAAACACATTTCAAGGCGTTGCGGAAATATACTACACAAGTCTACTCATTTAGCGCAAACTAACCTTTCCAACCTTTCTGCCTGCAAACATTTTCAAAGTTGAACTTAAACCTCGTTGATTTGAACATCTGTCCCAAATTTGAAATGACATTTGTTGCTCATCTCACACACTGAGATATACACAAAGGTATAAACCTGAGACAATTGTTTTGAGCTGAAACGCGTTCGACTTTGGGGAATTCACAACATTTGACCAAGCTACAAAACCGTGTTCATGTTCGCTTTAGCGCCAAGTAGGAACGGCCCTCCTTCCCGATTTGTTTCCGCTGTGCATTTTATAGTGGATAATATGGATGTTTTTTGTCTCACCAAAAAGCCATTCCTAAGACTATCAAGTTTCAAGCGTGGCTTTCGCAGTGAACGTTATTTTACTTCACTATCACGATAGCCCAAATGTTGCATAGAAGATGTTATCGACATTACACTGGAAATGGTAAAATTGCCCTCTTTCAAGAAATGAACTTTTCAGAGACGGTATATATACAGTCAGCTAAGCCAAACCCGGAGCAGAAAACATTAAAACAGATAAGATATTTAAATTTTAGGCTATCAAATCATCTTAACTTTTTAAAAAAATTTGGAACAAGTCGAGAGAAGCGTTACTCTTTACCATGAGCTACATCTTTGATGGTAATCTACATAGAGCACACCTCAGACGGTTTATAATGGCTAATGTTGAAGACAGTATCGAAAGTTTTAACAAATTCCTGTGAATAAGTCTGACCGTATGCTCATCATCAATTTAAAGCAATCGGCCACTCTTGTCATGCGTCATGCATGAAATCAGTGATTTAAAAGAATGCAGATTATCCATAATATACTTTTTACCTCAACTTTTTCTACTTCCAAATACTGTTTGAAAAGACACCATAAATCATAATTGCTCGGTATTTGAAGCATTTTGAGGACAACGTCCACTGCACTTGTTATAGATCCAATATCAAAAGTGCGTCACAAGCAATCGATTAGCAAAAGGGGACCCAATGGCAATTGGTAACGAGTTTCTGCTAACGAGAGGAATAAACTATAAACAACTTTTGAAATTTTTTTCATTTTTAAATTCAGGTATCCTGGATATTTTAGACAAAAGCTTTCAATCGGGCTGTTTCAGATCGCGTGCACACGCAGAGTTAAAGGAAAACTGTAGTCCGTTTTGCCCTCACAAATAACTGTTCGGAGGTTCTAAACGCTTAGACCGCACTGTTTGGGCGGGTCTAGAATGGTACATTATGCTCATGAATTTTGAAGGGTCTCCGTGAAATCACCCAACAAGAAATGCAAATTAATTTCTGGTTATGACAAACGATTCCTCAAAGCGCCCCAGGCACTGTAGCTTGCAAGCCTGAAGAAACCTGTAGAGAAGAGACAATGAGAAGCAGAGGTGGGAGGAAACCCTCGAGGAATATTCTTGGTAAAACCCACGAAATCAGGTAGGGACTGAAAACCCAATCCACATGTGGACCGGGCCGGGATTTGAAACCGGACCACACAGGTGAAAGGCGAGGGGAAAAAGCACTACTAATCTACCCCCGCATTGTTCACTGCAAGCAACCACACGCTAGCTCAAGAGCGAAACGGACATGTTCCGCTTGCCAAAATTTCAAATCAACTGTAAATTGCACGGAATATCTCTTTCAAACTACTGTTTGACCTTTTTCTTTGGGGAGCACTGATGCGGGCAGGGATAGCAAACATGTTATAAACAGATCTTGTTCGATGTATAAAACGTTAGGCATAAGTTTCCCCCAAAACGTACGGTATTTCAGTCAATCTGACCAGACCTGTTCTAAATAAATAGAATACATGTAAATTACCAGCCCTCAACACCTCAGGTACATTATTATATAATCCAAACTGAATGAGTTTTTGGCTTCCAAATGAGAACAGTTTGCTATAAAATGTTCTAGAAAACAAAGTGATTGTCTCGACAGTGTTTTATGGGCCTACTGAAATTGATGCATGGTCGTGTGTGCCAGACTTCAGGGAGTTCTCTGAAGACGACCATGCTGATTTCACCTGTTTGCTCGCACGGAATATATATGTACATGTACAGCACACCAAGTACAGATTGCTCCGTGCAAACGGGTGCCACAGGAGCCCTGCTTTCATCTTGTTAGAAAATGGCTGTACTTCTTTCTGATCGTCAATTCACCATTCGTCTAACCACGAATGTTCAACAACACAACTACCGACGTACATGTACATGTGTTTTTTAAAATTTATTCTTAACGTCTTCATGTTCAGTGTTTTTACATGTACATGTATATACAGTATACTTATTTTATTAATTTGTTAATTTCCCACATCTTGATGTGGGGAGACAGGTCTGTGACCACAGTGATTCCGTATTACTTTTGTCTCCCCTATGCCCATCTTGCTTGTGATGTATATTGAATTTTTGGCATGAATAAATAATAATAATAAATAATAATGACCTGTGCATGGACATGCCGTGCTGTGTCAGACCATGGTCAGAAAAACGAGGCTGCACGTCGGATGAGGTTGAAACCGAATCAACCTGTCGCGTGGAAGCATATAGGGCTGGGCTAGTCAAAAGCACACTACAGCGCACACGCCCAGGGCAAACTAGGGTGACAGTATTATTCGTTGTTCAAATGGGGAACCTTTAAACTAAGCTTCTATTCCACAGACGAGGGCTTCATTAACATGGTGCCGCCAGATCCATCAATGTCTCGGAACTTTTCGACTAAAAACCCAATAATCATTAAACGACTGAAAAACCTTTAAGTTCCCAATTTACTGATCAGTTTCCAATTTTAAAGCACTTATTCATTACCTTTTCAAATTTCCATCAAACATGTAACTCTCCGGAAAGAATTTTCAGCACACATAAATAAAGTGTTCCATACTCTTGTAGAAAGCATAATCTAGAAAAGATATAGATGTGCATGTAGATTTAGTTCAGATAACACTGTTAGTGTTGACTGAAGGGTTTGGGAAGAACTGGCAAGGCTTTGCTGGTTAAAAATAAAAGAGGGTTAATAGAGTCGTTTTTTTTCACAGAATAATGCACGGTTTCTTTGCATTTGTGGTTACCTTTATGATCATTGTCTGGCCCTTCTTTTAGCGCAGCTTTTCTGGATAACAAGCATGTGCATTCGACCCAATTTTCGACGGAATGTGCATAACAGGTTTCCACCAACACTGGAGGACTGGTTGCCCTCGGCTAGCCACCAGGCGCATGGGAGTGACAGTGTTCAAGCAACAATCACATAATGTACCTCCTTCTCTCAGGGACACCGGTCAGGTTTCTTCTCCAGATCCTGAGAAGGAGGCCAGAGAAGCCTGTGGAGGCTTGTAATAAGTCCAACAGTTTTACCCAGAAAAAACCTGAAATCAAGGTTTGGCCTGAAAACCGGCATTTGTACGTAATGATCTTTCTTGTTATCATTCCTGAGTAAGGGAGTTGTTTCAATGCCATTAAAAGAATATAATTTCTAGTATACAAGAACATGTACCTTAAAACACAATACACTAAGGTGATCAAATGTCGCAAAGACCAACCCTGAGTTACATAAAATACAATATGATTTGAAATTAAAACTTGTCAGAGTAAACAGAAAACTTTTACGCGATGCAAAACACAATAAATTCAACTTAATCTGTATGATACTTAAATACATATATGCTGCATTAAATATACATGTAACTACTGCTGCAGTAAAAATATGAATCAACGTAACGCTTTATCTGTGTAAAAAATACATCAATCATGAAACAAATGATTTTATATCAAGCAAACTGCATAGGTGAATTTATGAACAAGTTCACAATCATCCTTTTGGCTTAAATTTTGTAGAATTTTTTGAATTAGAAAGGCTCATAAATACCAGTAATAAATTCAATAAAGATGTATGGAAGCACGGTGCTTGTACCCTGTTCAGCCATCTCACAGCTGGGGAGGGTAGGGATGGGTCTCGACTCTCTCCTATCTAAGGCAAAGACAAACTAAGGCAAACGTTCTGAAACTTGAAAGAACTAAGGGCTAAATTGTCGTTTTCAATGGCAAGATATCATCACCAGTCCCATTCACAAACTCCATTGTACAGCTGGTTGTGTATGGGTGGTTTGATAGGGGAGGATCTACATGTACCCTGGTAGGACTGAGGCACACAACACGATATACCCAGCAAGAAATGAGACCGAGGGGTACCCCCCCAAGATGTCCAATCCCTATACACATTCCAGACTATTGTTACTTAACACATCCCCCCCAAGGTGTCTGAAAGGAATTCCCCAGATTCCTGCGAGACAATGACCAACACAAAGCAGGGGGGGTTCTCTCCGTCTCATACCTTGCTGCATATGCAACACAAGAAGTTGCTTGCCTCTTGAAGTTAAGCCTAATTTACAGGGTGGCAAAGTCTTCAAAGCAAGAGTCTGAGTCACTGGACTGTCTAAGTCTCTGATTTACTTGACCACCAACTGCTGATCTGAGCAAGAGAAAAAAGTGGATTTCTTCAGCAGAGGTGAAGCACAAAATGAGTTTATGTGACCATCTTTCTCCAAAATTTGTACAAATGATTTACTTTTTCCTGGAGATCATACATGCATATGTACAGCTGACC